GTTTTTTTGAAGAAATTTATGAGAGTATAGAACACAAGTTCTAGTTCGCCGTACAGATTATTTTGAGTGTTACTACAATCTGTGTAAAGATCATTGTGTCTTGGAAGATAGACGCCATTTATCTGTAAGCACTGAAGCGGGGCGAATCTGTCTTAAGGATAGAGTGTCACACACTCTACTTGATTTTTTTGTACTTATTTGGTTCGATAAATAAATTCTGTAAGTAATTTATTTTTATTTGTTTGATATGGTTTCAAGTTATTTATTTTACATAGAAGATTGTTCCAACAGTATTTGGTTCTAGGAGTTCTTTCATTGAATCCCTCTTTGATTTCGTCATTTTGCTCTCTGTCTGTATATCTGTCATGTGTTGATTCAAATCCTTGTGTTTAGTTAAAAGTGATAATGAAGTCATCATGTGCAATTTCACTCCTTTGGTTTAGTTAAAATTAATGATTACTTGTAGCATAATAATATCTTAGTTTAATTTCTTAAAGACAAAATTCTTGCTGTACCACTTCACATGGCCTTTATTATTTATTCTGATAAACATACTGACTGACTGCAATAATACTCTACATATATATGTTCTATTTTCAACCATTATGGCAATGAGAAATCTAACAATTAAACTTGTGTTTATCACACCTACCACTTTTCTCTTTAAATCTGTGCTTGTCCCATGCCCATGCCCATGTCCAGCTCAAGAGGGATAATAAGGTTGCTACAAAGGAGGTTGAAGATCAACGAAAAATCAACGAGGAGTTGGTTGAAAGAATTTAGATCTTGGAGTCCGGTTGCATGGAATACAATGCCAAAGTCGACTTCTTGATGCAGCAGATCAGTTGAAGAGGACCCTCTACTAATTCTTCTTCTAATAAGTTATCTTTTGAGATTTACATTCGATTTCCTTTGTGGTTTTATATACTAGTTTTATGAGTATTCACTTAATATTGTTTTATCCATTTTGTTGAGCACGAATTCATAGCTTAGCATCAATAATTGTAGTTTACTAGTGGACCATTAAGCTGTAATTGTAAGGACTCTGCAGCTCTAAGGATGCACAATTGAATAAATTTAAGGGGAAAAATTAAAATAGTTGAGTTTTAAATTTATTTTCTGTTGTTAACTTGAAATGAAGTTCTCTGCCACTAGATCTTTTTTCTGATTTCATAGATGCATGTTATGTGAATTAATGCTATGTGTTTCATAGATTCACTCATCATGTTATGTGAATTGTCAATTTTTCTATGTTTTATTTTATTTATTGTCACTCGCTTTCTCTGATAACTTGGAATGCCACTTTCCTTTCACTGGTTCTCACCCAATTTGCAGTGATCAAATTTATTGTCTTGACAAACTTTTTGACTTACTGAGCTGAGTAAAATACTCTGTGACAAAATAAAGTGGTTCTTCAATCCAAAAGATGAGGTAGTATTTCTTTAAAATATTAAATTGCTATTTATCCCTTAATATTTTTGCAAGCAAAAAAAGATGGGTTACTTCACTTTGCAATACCTCTCTTCCCTTCATCATCGCCTTTTCATTTGAATGCATTTTCTCAAAACTCCAATGGGTGTACTATACTTTATCAATGGTTCCATAATTTTTTATTTGGTTATTTGTTGATTTTTCTCGATAGGGAATTTAGTTGGATTATTTTATTGAGTGCTTAATATGATATGTAAGAATAGAATTAGATGATTTCGTGAACAAAGACAGCCTGATCTATAGTAATGGGACCCCTTTAGTTCCACCTGATCTATAGAATTAGTTGATCCATGTTTCCTTCTTGTTTTTATGACAAGAGAATGATATAGACCAAAGAATCAATAAGGTTTTAACTCAAACACAAACACATAGCTTCCTCTGAATAAAAAAAGTTTGGTCTAAGATCTTAGTTCTATGCAGGTCCTGCAAGCTTGCATCGATTTGAAGGCTTGGGAGCTCTCTGCAAGATTTTGAATGCCATTTCAATGAGGCCCTTGAAAAGAAGATGCAATGAGCTGTTCTGTTCTAGTGTGGACAAAAGCAAGTTTATAATTCAACCATTTTGCTCGTATTTTATTACCTTGTTTTCCATGTTAGAGAAACAAGGATTAATGATTTTTTTTTTTCCATTCCTTTCATTTTTTTTTTAATTTTTTTTTGTCCTTTTGACAAGCAAATGAAAAGATGCGAACATAGTGTTATTATCTTGATGTTATCATTGCTCATTGGTTGCTAACAAAGTGCTATTTTGATGAACAAGATTTTTAATGGGTACGAAGTTGTTTTGTGTGTCATTTGCAATTGTTGGATGGCCTTGTCAAGCAACTGAAACTTGAAACATTAGTTTGTAGGTGAACTTGGAATACCTTAAAGTGATGCTTAACATAGATGACATGCTTTACCATGACGCTGTCATTGGAACAAATTTGCACAGAACTATGACAAATAGATTACATGTTGTTGGCTGGCGAGACAGAAGCTACTGTAATGCTTGGTCAGGTAATCTATTTCTGAATCTCCACACAAGAGAGTAAGACGATTTGGGATATAATCTCCCATCAATCTTATACTACAAGAAAAGTAGACTTAAAAGATGAAACTTTTTGAGACGGCACATTTGCCGTCGCAAAAAATGTGATTTTTTGAGACGGCACAACTTGACGTTGCAAAAAATATGACTTTTTGCAACAGCACAACTTGCTGTCACGAAAAATAGAGTATTTGCGACGGCAGAAAATGCTGTCGCGAAAAAGGAGAGTATTTGAGACTGTAGAAATTGCTGTCGTAAAAAAAAAATACATTATTTGCGACGGCAGAGATTACAGTCGCAAAAAAATAGAGTTTTTGTGACGGCACCAGCTGCAATCACAAAAAAAAAGAAGAGTTTTTTGTGACTGTAATAGGTACCGTTGCAGAAAAAAAAAGGTAATATATATATATATATATATATTGTGGCTTTGAGATGGCTTCATATATATATAGTCACAAAATGGTTTAAATAAATGCAACGGTATTTTTGCTGTCGTAAAAAAAAAAAACATTATTTGCGACGGCAGAGATTACAGTCGCAAAAAAATAGAGTTTTTGCGACGGCACCAGCTGCAATCACAAAAAAAAAAGAAGAGTTTTTTGTGACTGTAATAGGTACCGTTGCAGAAAAAAAAAGGTAATATATATATATATATATATATTGTGGCTTTGAGATGGCTTCATATATATATAGTCACAAAATGGTTTAAATAAATGCAACGGTATTTTTTTGTCACAATAAATAAATAAATAAATAAAACGACGTCGTCTTACTCTCTTGATATAACATTTCTCTTTTCACCCATTTTTTCATCTTCTTATCTCTCTATCTCTGTCTCTGTCTCTCTTCTCTTTCTTTCTCTCACTCATCACTCTTCTCTGTCTTTCAGTCTGTCTTTTTCTCTCTGTGTCTCTGTCTCTCTTCTCTTTCTCTCTCTCACTCATCACTCTTCTCTGTCTGTCTCTCTCATCCATCTCTCTTTGTCTCTCTCTCGTTTATCTCTTTTTGTTCTTTTTGTCTCTCTCTCTTTGTCTCTTTCTCTCTCTCACTCATCACTCTTCTTTGTCTGTCTGTCTCTCTCTCTCTCTTTCTCTCGGTGTCTCTCGCTTATCTCTCTTCTCTCTATCTCTTTCATTTCTCTTCTCTTCTCTTTCTGTCTGTCTCGCTCATCTCTTATCTCTCTATCTCTCTCTTTCTCTCATCTCTCTTCTCTCTGTGTCTCTCTTTTTTTCTATGTCTCTCTCTCATTCATCTTTTTTCGTTCTCTTTCTCTCTCTTTGTCTATCTCTCACTCATCTTTTGTTTCTTTATCTTTTTTTTGTCTCTCTCTCTCTCTCTCTGTCTCTCTGTCTCTCTTATTCATCATTATTCTCTCTTTCTCTGTCTGCCTGTCTATTTGTCTGTCACTCTCTCTCTCTCTCTCTCTCTCTCTCCTACCGTGTTCGCCTTGCTCACTTTCTCCATTCTCTCTTCTCTATTTACCGAATTCCCTCTCGATTTATCGATCTACTACATGAAAATGCACTTTTAGCGACCACTTTGTTTCTCTCTCTCTCTCTATCTCTCTCTTCTCTATCTGTCTCTCACTCATCTCTCTCTCTCTCTCTCTCTCACTACACATCTCCTCGACCACCTTTACCACTACTACAAATGTCACTCTACTACCACCACTATTGCCACTCCACCTCTGTGACCACCATTACTACCACCATCGCCACCATTCCATTACCACTACCACCACTACTGCCACTACTACTACCATTACCTCTCCTCTACCATTGCCACTCCATCATCTTTACCACTACCACAACTTCACCACTAATCTCCTTCGCCATCACCACCACCATCACCTCTTATCCACCACCTTCACCATTACTGCCGCCTTCTCTGAAATTTGATTCAAATTTATTTTTTAAAGACTAAAAATTAGTTTCATGAAAAAATTTAAAACATCAAAACTACCATACTTGTCAATTTTATATAATTTTACGAAGGATATGATCAGCTTGTTTGGTTTAGATTTTTAGTATTTATTTTTCTGGAAATTGAAAATTTTTATTATGTGTCTTTTTTTTTTAATTTTTATTTTCTATGTTTTCACTATTTTTTTTAATATTCTAAGCATTTTTTTAATTTTAAATACACCACACATAAATACACTTTAAAAATATAATATCTGTGATTAAATCGTATTCTTGTGCATTTATTGATTTTTAAAATTTTTTAGGCAGATACATCTAAGTAAGGTGTATCTAAAAATATAAAAATTAAAAATTACTTATAATTTTAAAAATTCACTAAAAATAAAAAATATACGAAAAATAAAAAACTCAATTTTCAAAAAATTAAATCAAAAACATCGAAATTAAACAATTTTTAAAAATTTAAAGTACATTTTTTAAAAGAAAATCAACCAAACAAGATCTCAATTTTTTACCTCCCTTCCAAATTTTCCAATGTTCGAATTTCCCACAAAACTCTTTCTCTGTGATTTCGTTTTCCCTCTCTTTCTTTTCACGCTCAACTCTCTACCTCTCTCCTCATTCTCTCACTCATCTCTGCCACTTCCATTGTCTCGCCAAACCACCGATCCTCACCACCACCATCATGATCATCACCACGGTCACAACCACCATCACCATCACCATCACCATCATCAGTACGATTACAGTGGCCATGCCAAGCTGACTAGGGCACAAGAAGCGTTTCTTCGATTCGCCGAAACGATTAGGTGGACCGATTTAGCAGACTTCTTGCGGGAACACTTGGAGCTATGCTGCTGTGCCACGGCTCTGTTTATCGCTGCCGCAGCTTGTTCCTACTTGCTTCCAAAGCCAGCTGTGAAGCCTCTGTAGCATGTTTTCATTCTCATTGCTTTCCCTCTCATTGGGGTATGAGTATTCTCTCCCAATTTTTCCTAATTTTGATTTTGGATTGATAAACTGATATAATTTCATACTCAATAGGCCTGAGATGAAGAGCAAAATTTGATGGGTAAGACCATCTCCAACGGTGAATCAAAGTTGGTATCAGATTCAAATTTTGATGAAAAAGGCACTTTTTTATGCTCCAACCGTTGCACCAGATTGATATCAAAATGAGATTTCAGCAAAAACAGCATCAAACTGAGAACGAGACACAGATTTTACCAACCGGTCGATCGCCTAAAGGTTCAAACGGTTTGAAGAAAAGGTTCAAACAATAAAAAAAAAATTTTTTTTTTGCCTAACCGGTCGACCACTAAAAGGTTCAAAAAGTTCAAAAAAATAAAAAATAAATAAACAAATTTTTTTTTTTCGCTTAACCAGTCGACCAACCGGTTGCCCATGGCACAAATTTGATGAAAGTACACCGTTGGAGCGAGTGGTATCAAACCTGGTATAATGGGTCATTTTTGACTCAAATTTGGTGAAAAATCTGATTCACCGTTGGAGATGCTCTACGGTAACAATTTTTGTTATTTTGGGTTAGATTTGCCCCTAAAATTGGACTAATATGAATGTAATGGAGGAATATATCAAGGAGTGAATAATTTTTATTTTATTTTATTTTTTAAAATTGCTATTAATGGCTGCTATGTCTTATGGTATAGGGCCTTAAGCAGCTAAGAAGCAATATGTTCAAATGATTATTGAAACTAAAATGAGAAATGTTGAGATGAATGGGTGGTGTTATTAGAAAAGATAGACTAAGAAATGATGGTATTGATGAGCATATGGTTTGGTATTTTTTCTTTGTTGAGTTGCAGTGCTTACACCACGTCATGAGGAAGCTGGAAGACTCAAGTTTGTATGTGTTTCAAATGATGGTATTGATGAGCATATGGTTTGGTATTTATTTCTCTTTCTCAAGTATCCATTTTTTATCTACTTTTTTTTTTCCTCAGATTAATTTACATTGGTGCATTTTTTTTAACATTTGACAAACTGCCAAATATGCTATTAAGTTTTGATTATTCACCAGGATAGCACTGCATTAAGATGGAGTTTGTTTTATTTTTCCACCTCTCAGGTTGATAGGATTGAAGGATATATTTGCTAGACAACTACCTAACATGCCTAAGGAGTACATTGTTCACCTTGTAATGGACAGGTATGTTTTGTGAAAGCTTTCTTAAAACTTAAAAGTGTTATATCAGTAAGAAATATAGTTATCAAATAAGTAGTTAGTATTCTTAAAACTATGTTGTTGCTCGAATGGATTGTTTTATGCCCCAAAAAATAATAAATGAATGGCTAAGTGAAATAGAATTGATGAAGAGTAAATATATTCATACTTTTCTTTTTTATCCCCTTTCACACCCCTCGTAAGAGGCAAAAAGACGGAAAAAAAAAGAGTGAGTGGTTTAAACATTGACAAAAAAAAAAAAAAAAACAAGTTTAGTTACATGGACTCTTCTACTTACCCCAATGTACCAGTGTCCACTAGGTAGTTGAATCTTGATTGCTTCCTTAGCTATTAATATGAGATTTTGAGTGGTTAAAAAATACAAGCATTTTGATGTGTTCATGGCATCATAGATATAGAAGTGCGTTTTAGGTTTGCTTTTGCTTATTTATTCATATGGGCTGGAATTTAACCACACAAAGAAGCAAAACACAAGGTGTAAAAAGTCATGTCTACCATTAACATTGAATTCAGCCTAGTGAAATGGTTTCAAGTAACATTTATGTCATTCTTTTTCTGCCTCATGAATTCGAGGTGTTGCCCCCCAAAATAACCAAACGGCGCCGGATTAGCATGAAACTTGGCACGCACGACCGCCTAGGCACGAGAGACTTGTGGGAGAAGACGGGACTCGAATCGGGTTCTCGATTTGGGAGTTAGAGCTGGATTTTACTCTAGGCAAACTAGTTCTTTGAAAAATCTAGAATTTGAGGTGTTGACACCCCAAAATCACCAAACGACATCGGATTAGCACAAAACTTGGCACACACGACCACCTTGACACGAGAGACTTGTGGGAGAAGATGGGACTCGAATTGGGTTCCCAGTTTGGGAGTTAGAGCCAGATTTCACTATAGGCAAACTAGTTCTTTGAAAAACTTAGAATTTGAGGTGTTGACACCCCAAAATCAGCAAACGGCGTCGGATTAGCATGAAACTTGGCACACATGACCGCCCTGACACGAGAGACTTGTGGGAGAAGACGGGACTCGAATCGGGTTCCCGATTTTGGAGTTAGAGGTGGATTTCGCTCTAGGCAAACTAGTTACTTAAGAAACTTGAATTCGAGGTGTTGACGGCCCAAAATCACCAAACGGCATCGGAATAGCACGAAACATGGCACACACGATCGCCTAGGCACAAGAGACTTGTGGGAGAAGACAGGACTCGAATTGGGTTCCTGGTTTAGGAGTTAGAGTCGGATTACGCTCTAGGCAAACTAGTTCCTTAAGAAACTCGAATTCGAGGTGTAGGCGCCCCAAAATCCCCAAACAGCGCGGGAATAGTACGAAACTTGGCACACACGACCACCTAGGCACTAGAGACTTGTGGGAGAAGACGGGACTCGAATCGAGTTCCCGGTTTGGGAGTTAGAGCTAGATTTCGCTATAGACAAACTAGTTCCTTAAGAAACTTGAATTCAAGGTGTTGACGCTCCAAAATCACCAAACGGCGTCGGAATAGCACAAAACTTGGCACACACAACCGCCTAGGCACGAGAGACTCGTGGGAGAAGACGGGGCTCGAATCGGGTTCTCGGTTTGGGAGTTAGAGTCGGATTTCGCACTGGGCAAACTAGTTTCTTAAGAAACTTGAATTCGAGGTGTTGACACTCCAAAATCCCCAAACGGTGTTGGAATAGCACGAAACTTGGCACACACGACCGCCTTGGCACGAGAGACTTGTGGGAGAAGATGGGGTTCGAATCGAGTTCCCGGTTTGGGAGTTAGAGCTGGATTTCGCTCTAGGCAAATTAGTTTCTTAAGAAACTTGAATTTGAGGTGTTGACGCCCCAAAATCATCAAACGGCGTCAGAATAGCACGAAACTTGGCACACACGACTGCCTCGGCACAAGAGACTTGTGGGAGAAGACCAGGCTCAAATTGGGTTCCTGGTTTGGGAGTTAGAGCCGGATTTCGCTCTAGGCAATCTAGTTCCTTAAGAAACTTGAATTCGAGGTGTTGATGCCCCAAAATTCCCAAACAGTGTCGGAATAGCACGAAAGTTGGCACACACAACCGCCTAGGCATGAGAGAGTTGTGGGAGAAGACGGGGCTCGAATCGGATTCCCGATTTGGGAGTTAAAGCTAGATTTCGCTCTAGGCAAACTAGTTCCTTAAGAAACTTGAATTTGAGGTGTTGACGCCCCAAAATTACCAAACGGCATCAGAATAGCACGAAACTTGGCACACATGACCGCCTAGGCACGAGAGACTTGTAGGAGAAGACGAAACTCAAATCGGGTTTCCGGTTTGGGAGTTAGAGCCGGATTTCGTTCTAGGCAAACTAGTTTTTTAAGAAACTTTAATTCGAGGTGTTGATGCCCCAAAATCACCAAACGGCATCGGAATAGTAAGAAACTTGGCACACACGACCGCCTAGGCACGAGAGACTTGTGAGAGAAGACGAGACTCGAATCGTGTTCCCAGTTTGGGAACAAGAGCCAGATTTCACTCTAGGCAAACTAATTCCTTAAGAAACTTGAATTCAAGGTGTTGACGCCCCAAAATCACCAAACGGCGTCGGAATAGCACGAAACTTGGCACGCACAACTGCCTAGGCATGAAAGACTTGTGGGAGAAGACGAGACTCGAATCGAGTTTTCGGTTTGGGAGTTAGAGCCGGATTTCTGTCTAGCCAAAATTAATTACTTAATTATCTTTGTAATTATATAGTAGTTAAATTTTTATATTTTTTTATAATTAAAATTACCATATAATTATATTTTCATTGATTATTTTTATTTTTAGTTTTCAGATATTTCCTGAGTAAGAGTTTGCTTTTTGTGGAGTGCAGGTGTGTGAAGAATGTGACTTAACTTTTGTTTTGTTACGCACGGAAAAATCATGAGGAAAATTTTTGTTGTTGATTTATGTTATTTTGAATTGTGAACAATATTATGTATTTAAACATTATATTTGTATTATGCAACATTATGTAGTGAGGTAATTTTGTTGATATGTTGTTATAAATGCAATAATATTTTTATTATGAATGAATTGTTATTTTTATACTAAAATTTTTATATTATTTTGCAATTATTAGTTTGTTTTTTAGTTATTTTTCATTTAATACAGGTAATTTTCATATTTTTAATAATTTTATTGCAGTTTTTTTTTTTTTTTTTTTTTGGGTGTGACTGCACCACACTTTCTCAAAAAACATTAGAACCAAAGGTATTTTGTTGAAACAAAAACTTTTTGCAACGGCATTTTTTATCATCTCAAATAATCTTTAGCGACGGCATGCTTTGCTATCTCAAATAATCTTTAGCGACGGCAGGTATCCCATCGCAATAAAAACCCTTTAGCGACGGCATTTTTTGCCGTCTCAAATAACACTTTTAGTAATGATAAAATAGTGTCGTCGCAAAAAATCTCAAGTTTTTACATATTATTGGCTACATTAGAATTCTGTCGCAAAAGGCAACTTTTGCCGTCGCAAAAAACAGGCGACGACATGGTGCTGTTGCTAAAGGGTTTTAGCAATGCCCTTTGTTGCGACCCCCCATTTGTCGTCGCTAAAAGTCAGTTGCTGTCGCAAAAAAGTATTTGAGACGGCATTATGAGTATTTACGACGACATTTTGCCGACGCAAAAAGCCAAAATTTTTGTAGTGTTACATTTATTATCTTGCTTAGACTTTTTGATGACGATTTAACTCCTCTAATACCTACAATTTGTCTTTTTTTCTTCACAGTAAATTGAACTGATTAAAATTCTTAGAACTTTCTTATTAGAATTCTTACAAAACTTAAACCTATTTTACTTTATTTATTTTCATTTATGGACTTTTGACGTTCAGCTAAGGATTTTGTAGGTATCACTTTGTCACATAGGAATGGAAAAACTAGTTTGATGCACCATCGGAAAGTATAGATTTTCTAATGAATTTTCATTTTTGTGGTATTGATATGAATGGAATTGATGGTTTTTATCGGAATGTATGTTTTTGGACTATCATTGCATCAAAATTCAAGGATAAAACGATTAGACAATGCCGAAGAAGGTTTAAAAAAATGTTCACATTTTATCTTATATATTTTTCTTCCAATAATTCTTGCTCTTTTGTTTTTTAGTTCATTATGATTGGATGTAATGACACTATTGCCGATGGTACACTTATTTTTAGTTCCTTTAAAAACTATTTTTTGGAAACAGTTGACACACTAAAATGGTCAAACGGCGTCGGATGTCAACAAAACTTGACACACAACTAATTAGGCACAAATGAGTTGTACGAAATGATGAAACTCAAAATTGGCTCCCAGTTTTGAATCTAGATCCTAATTCCTGCTTGTGAAAACTTGTCCTTTAGAAACTTTTTTTTGGAACCGGTTAACACACTAAAATGGTCAAATGGCGTCGGATGTTAAAAAGACTTGACACACACGACTATCTTGACACAAGTGACTTGTAGGAAAAGACATGACTCAAAACCGACTTTAAATCTAGAGCCTAATTCCCGTTTGTGAAAACTTATCTTTTACAAACTCTTTTTTATAAAATGTTCAAACAGTATCGGATGTCAACAAAACTTGACATACTTGACTAGTTAGGCACAAATGACTTGTAAGAAAGGACGAGACTCAAAATTAATTTTCAATTTTTAATCTAAAGTCTAATTTCCGTTTGTGAAAACTTATCCTTTAGAAACTCTTTTTTTGAACCGGCTGACACACTAAAATAGTCAAATGGCATCGGATGTCAACGAAACTTGACACACTTGACTAACTAGGCACAAATGACTTGTATGAAAAGATGGAACTCGAAATCTGTTCCGGTTTTGAATCTAGAGCCAAATTCCTATTTGTGAAAACTTGTTTCTTAGAAACTCTTTTTCGAGTCGGTTAACACACTAAAATGGTCAATTGAAGTTGGATGTCAATGAAACTTGACACAGATGA